TCTACCTGGGTGAACAAGTAACCACTTCTCAACTTCTTGAGTGTAATACGTACTGAGTGGTTTCATCAAGCTTACGTCTAATGGTTGTAGCCGATGGCTGCAATGAGGTGGTAAACATAGGAGAGAAACACACTTTTCACGAGCAAGATTGATAACATCAAGATTTAAGGTGTGGGTTTTATGTCCATCAAGGATCAACAGTACTGGTGAATCGGCACACGAATGACTGTGATATACAAAATGTTCAAACCATTTCAGAAACAAATCAGTTTGCATCCAACCAGACGGATGGGCTACACCGATGGATCCTGGTGGTGCAGCATCAAGTAACTCAGGCTTCATTCGGCATCTCGGAAACACAAACATAGGAGGGATGAAATTACCTGATGCACTCATGCATATTTCCACTGTCACTAACTGACCACGTTCTGCCGAACTCAAGCTGCCAACTTGCTTCTTGCCCCGAGCTGCTATCACCTTGGAAGGTCTGTTCGGCACAGTTGTGAAACCAGTCTCGTCACAGTTGTATACCCTGTCTGGACTATAGTGGTGCTTTGTCTGTAACTCAGTGAGCAAATCAAAAAACTGGTCAACAACAACTTTGTTGAAGCCTTGTGCCCGTGCCGAAGAAGTTGGCTCTGGCATTCTTAAAGACAGGTCTGGATGTCGTGACATAAATCCTCTATACCAGTCCAGACCTGCTTCTTCTTTGACAGAACTGAATCTTTCATGGATATTGTTACTTTTCGCTAGTTGATATGCGAGTTTTCGTAAGCGCTTAGGTGTGAAACCAAAAAGCATACTTTCCATGGTTTTTATATGCTGAACAAGTTCCAGTTCAGTTTCCGTATCGAATACATTGCACCTTGAGCCGAGTCTTTTTGCAGCTGCTGCTCCACTTGCTAGACTTGACTTGTACCTCCGCTGAAGTGTTGAACGGGGTACGCTGAAAAGTTTACAGGCTTTCTTTAATCCCATTGTTTTTGTACGTAATGCTTCAATTGCTTTGACCATACCTGTCTCTGACCACGTTTGTCTTTCAGTTGTTCTTTTATACCGTCCCATTTTATTGAAGAAGCTGAAACAAAGCACAATACAATTACATAATGTGCTATTAATCTGTAATAATAGTAGATTATACATTAATTTGAAACATTCAAAGACATACACCCTTGATTAATAGTACCATTAATTTACTTTAAAACAACAAGAAAATCAAAAGAAATTATTTTAATAACACACCAAATTTATTTAAATAAGCACACTTTTAAACGACTTTTTTATGTTGATATATCCCATAATGCAGTTTAAACTTAGTTATATTTTACATAACAGATTCAGACAAATTTATAATTTGAAGACCTCTCATTAAACAATATTACATATGAAGTTCATAGTATGAACTAGATAGGTTTGTAGTTGTTCAAAACGGTAACTAAGGCGTTGCTAAGGAACTATTTGATAATATACCTAGGTAAAAAGTTAAATATCACAAAATATACAAAACAAAATGTAGAATTTTTTTCAAAAAACTAAAAAATAATAATATTTTCTATCAGAAAAGATGAAAATAATTTTTCTTAAAAAAAATAATTTATTCACATTTATTTTGTGATGAACCACCTTAAGAAGTCAATGCCTGCATCAGCTGTCTAAAACGGGCCCTTTGGTCTAAAATGGGCCCATAGCGGGCCCGTTTTAGACACTGATAAGGCCATTACAAAATCCTCATGTTGTAACGTTCCGATAAAAAACACATGAAATCGCTCATTTCCTGAGTAATCGTAACAAAAAAACAAAAGCAATAGTGCCCTACCTTGTAACTCGATATGACGATATGACTTGTAGGTCTGTGATTTCGTAACGTCAAATAAAACAAGAGAAATTGATATAATTGATTCGACACGTTTTTACAAGACCCTGTCAATTATTAACGCAATGTAAACAATCATGCATATTCATTAAACTAAGCTGGTTCTATTTGCATTCAGAGTCACCGAAAAAATCCGCTTGGTGTCGTGCCAATCGTGGGGCCCGTTTTAACCGAGGGGCCCGTTATAGACCAATCTCCCCTACTGTCAGTTTATGAAATTAATTGTTAATATTTTTTTTCGACGGGAAAACAAAAAATATCATAGCGTAAAAATAGCCAGAGAAGTTAGAAAAAAGTTCCCATTGTTTAAATAAAAATAAGTAAGATTCAGAATATATAATACTGCGCTCTCTTGCACAAAAACGAGAGACCGTATACATAACGTTCTATATAACGTAAAACACTCGTATGAAAATCATAAGATTCGTAAGTAAAACTTTAATTTAAAGCTTTAATTGTTTTAATTTAAAAACAAAAGAAATATAAGTAAGATATATAAATCTAAAAATTATTAAGATATCGGTAAAAAAAAAAAAAAAAGTTCCTCTTATGAAATAAAAAGCTTTTATTATTTTTCATTTTTACAAAAATTTGTTGTAAAAGTTATTTTGCTGTATGTTACAAATATTTTTTTAGAAAAACGTAGCTTTGTTTAATTACACTTTTCTTTTGTTAAAAATCTACCGTGACGTCAAATGCTAAAACTTTTATGAATTAAACGCGCTTCAAAGGAATTTTCAAAGTCTGTAGATTGCGACGTATAATTTAAAGACTCCGAGTTATTGAAAAAAATGGAGAAGGCGAGCTTCGGCTAAAACAACAACATTAGTTTTTCTCGGTATGCATTCATTATTTATTTTTAATCAAAAAAACTCGGTTCAAATCTTTTTTTTTAACATTATCTTTAATATGAACACAACATGTGTTGGGAGTTTAGAATCCCTTTAAACTAGCACTTTCTGTTTCTATTTTTTTTGTTGGAAAATCATATTTTGATCATTTAGTTGCAATTTTTAGCTTTATAGTTTGTTGCAATTACTTTCATTTAGTTGCATTTTTATTTCTGTATTATTATATTATTTTCAGAAGGCTTTTTATTTTTAAAACGTTTTAAAAATTTTGTACTTTAAAAGTATTTCTGATAAAAATTTTATTTACTTGCAGATAGAAAATGTAGGTTAATTTTTTAAAAGTTTTTTCTTTGTTTTAAAATGAGTTTTGGAAGTAAAAAGTTGATAGAGTTTTGGAAGTAAAAAGTTGGTTTTAAAAAAGAAGTAGAGAGAGAGTGATATTAAAAAAATAGTTGAAAGAGATATGTATTAAAAAAAAAATTGAGAGAGGTATTAAAAAATAAGTTATGAGAGAGAGGGAGGTATTTAAAACAAAGAATAGCCTTCTACGCAACAGTAAAAAAAAAAAAAAAAAATTACAAAACCAGTTAAATATATATTTTATCTAGTTTTCAATGTGCAATTATCTTTTTTTCTAAACATTAAAGCCTAGTCTTCCATGGTCTTTTTTGCATACAATATGTTCATATTCATTTTGCACAAACAGTACTTAATACAATGATGGAGTTCTGAAATGCTTTTTGCTCGCCAATCTGCAGTACATACCTTTTGTTTTAAAAAACCCCTTTAATTAGTTGTATTTCTGATATTTGGAGGATTTTTTATTCTTGGTAACAAATTATGCAATAATTTAATAAGCTTTTCATATGAGGTCAAAAGCATTGACATTTATTTTTTGCAAACCATCTTTGAGCATCACATATGTTTGAAATATTTCTCCCTGCAAAAAATTAACAGCAGTAAAGAAATGTACCCAACTAAAGTAATTTAGATATAAAGTAATCGTAAGTTTTGTCTAATCTTGGTGGTTGTTTGAATAGAAAATTTTTTTAGAAAATTTGAGAAGTTTCATAAACATTTTTACACAATTAGTTAATGCGCTTTCTGAGCTCCTGTTATTTGATTGTCGTTTTACTTTTATCTGTTGCTTATGTATTATAATAATATTATCTAATATTATATCAAAATATGCTTAGATGATTACACAAACATTTGATTGTAAAAATATTTCAAATAGAATGCAATATTCTACAATAAACTGCATTCAAATAAAAGATTAAATGATATTTTTTATTATTATTATTATTTTAAAATTATTTTAAGATACTATGTTACACAACTTGTGCTGCCATAGAAACCATTTAAAACAATAAAAACGCACAAGATCTAAAATATTAGAAAAGCAGTATAACGGGAAATCGTAGAAGTAATTTTTTAAACATTTTTTACATTATTTTAAAATGATTAAAATAAGCTTCTTCTTTTCTTGAACCCAAATCTTGTTTTCTTTTCTGCTGGAAAATGACCCACCTCGTCAATAAAAAATTCTTGTCAATAAAAAATTCTGTGGTTAAAATTTTAGAAGTTCTGGAGATCTTCAAGTAATGTCATTGGCTTGACATTACATGATCATAGCAATAATTCTTTTTTTAAATTTAAAGCTGTTTGTATGGAGATCTTCAAGTAATGTCATTGGCTTGACATTACATGACATTACAATATTGGCTTGACATTACATGATCATAGCAATAATTCTTTTTTTAAATTTAAAGCTGTTTGTATGGGAAAAGAAAAAAAAAATCATTTAGTTAAAATAATGAAAACTGACATCTGTAACTATAGTAAATTGCAATAAGTTTTTATTAATATTTTCAACTAAATAATGATAAATAGATATAATAACTAAATAACTAATAAGATAAATCAAAGGGAACCTAAGAATTTTTATGATTTAATTTATGCAGTAGTAGGTATGTGTATAATTTTACTGAGAAAAAAAAGTCTGCCAAAGAATGTTGGAATAAAAATCTAAAATTAAGAATTGGGTAATCTATGAGATTAAAGAATGATTACGTAAAATGTGTTTATCATGTAAGTTATTGTAATGTGTTTATTTATGTAATGTATCATTGTTTATTGTTGTCACTACTTACTAATTATAACACTATTTATGGTTGTTATTTATTGTTATTACATTATTTCAATTACTGTTGTTGTATTTTTAGTTATAATATCTGCCAGTAAAATTATGTTTTGTAGTTTTTAAATTATTTTAGTACATCTTAGAGTTATTTGTTCGTGAAAATGAAAATGTTGGCATCATGATTCCAATTCCACAATATCCACTGTATTCTGCAACTATTGATGAGTTTGGGATGAAGCAAGTTAGTTTTAATTTTTTTTAAACATAAACAAAATTAACTTAACATGTGCAATATTATTTTTTTGTTCTTATGTTTTGAGTTTTTTTATTGTGATATGAATTTAAATTTTGTGGTCTGGAAATAACTAAAGAAGAGATGCTTATAATAAAGTGAGACCTTTATATGATAGAAACATTGGATTGTGACCACAATATACTATATAAATACTATCAAATTTAGTTTAATATATATATATATATATATATATATATATATATATATATATATATATATATATATATATATATATATATATATATATTATATATATATATATATATATATATATATATATATATAAAGAGAGAGAGAGAGAGAAAGAGAGAGAGAGAGAGTGAGAGAGAGAGCAGGCGTGTACTGACAAAAGGTGTAGGAACCTCTTAGTTATCTGATAAATTTTATCCAAGAATATTGAAAAGTTGGCAACTTAAAATATTATTATATATTTTATAAATATAGTTATAGTATATTTAGTTTAACATTTATAGGTAGGATACTATTTAAATGAAGAAAACAATTGGTCGTTAGATATATCAGAGTTAAAGCGTTCTTTGGATGATGCAAGAAAAACATGTTCTGTAAAATGTCTTTGTGTAATAAATCCTGGTAATCCAACTGGGCAAGTTCTTTCTTATCAAAACATTCAAGAGATAATCAAGTTTGCAATAGAAGAAGGTTTATTTATTATTGCTGATGAAGTTTATCAAGATAATGTTTATGCTGAAGAATGTACCTTTTATTCTTTTAAAAAGGTAATGAAAGAGATGGGAAATGTTGCTAAAGATTTGCAGTTAGCATCTCTACATTCTTGCTCAAAAGGTTTTTTGGGAGAGTATGAGTTTATAAATTTTCGAAATTTGTAATAACTTTTTATTTAAAAAAAAAAATTATATTTTTTATTTCCAGATGTGGTTTGAGAGGAGGATATGTTGAATTTGTTGGCATCAGTGATGAAGTTTGTTATCACTTTAATAAATTACTTTTTGCGCAAACGAGTACCAACGTAACAGGACAGTTAGTTTTGTATTGTTTTGTTAATCCACCTAAAAATCATGAATCTTCATATGACTTGTTTGTACAGGTAAGACTTATGATGTTAAATGACAGATAACATAAAGTTTAATTAAGTTTAATTATTTAATCATCAAATTAAGGAAAAAACGAATATTCTGTCATCTTTGAAAAAACGAGCCCGATTGGTGTATGAAAATTTAAACAAAATAGAAGGTGTTATCTGCAAAGAAATTCAGGGATCTCTTTTTGCTTTTCCTCAAATTTGGCTACCTGAAAAAGCTATCAACCAAGCAAAGGTTTTCAACTAAACGTTTTTTTCTCTCTATATATATATATTGTAAGCGTGTATTTTACAGACTGTATTGTATTTTACAGTCACTTGGTCAAGCTCCTGATTTTTTTTATTGCATGCAACTACTTGAACAAACAGGAATATGTGTGGTGCCAGGTAGTAGTTTTCATCAAAAGGATGGTACCTATCATTATCGGTAATTTATTTTGCTTCATTTATTATAAATGTTTGTTGTTGTGTTTTTTTTGCTATTGATTTAAGTTTTTAACAGAATTGTGCAGTTTGACCATTCTTCTATCATTTTCTAGTTTGACCATTCTTCTATCATTTTCTAGTTTGACCATTCTTCCGTCAGATGATCAATTAAAAGCTTTGTTGAAAAAGTTTGGAGAATTTCATAAAAGATTTCTTAATTTTTACAAATAAAATTTAATTTTATAAAAAAGTTTGTTATAAAAATTAGATTATAATTTTATTAGTTTTTCTTTATATTAATTTGTTTATATGTTATTGCTTTTTTTTTTATATCAATGACTTTAGCATAAGATATGTTTTTCTTTATATCGATGATATAAATTCTTCAATATAAATTTGCGCTATTTTGACGACAGTTCTGACGCTATTTTGATTTTATAATTTTTCCAAATTACAAAAATACGGTTCTTTTCGTGAAGCATTTTAAGAAAACTTTAAAGAAAAATTAAAAATTAATTTACAAAAGATCTGCGTCGAGTGTTGAGTGGGTGTCGACTTAAATTTGCTTTTCTCTTGTCTTTTTTATCAAGACTTCGTAGTTTTTTGAAGTTATGGAGTTGCCCGATCGAGTTTAGTTAAATGGAAATTTTTAATTTAACCCTTAAAAGACGGCGGGGTATTTTACTACCCCAGAAGAGTTTATTTTTAACTGCCACATCAACAAATTTTGTCTATTTGAACTGCCACTTCAGAACATCTTTTATTATCATTTAATAAAATTGATAGTGTTAAATTTTTTTTTTTTTTACAATCAATTGACAATAATATTGTTAGTTGAAAATTTTGATACGTTAAAGAAGGTTGGGGTATTTTTTTACCTCATGCAAGTTTTCTCATTTTTTAGTTAGTGAATCAATAAATAGCTATATAAATCATGTTTAATTTAACAATTGCTTATGTTTTAGTTATTTTTTAATAGGTATGGGGTATTACTTATCTTTTTTATGAGTAAATTGTACCATATATTCATTAAATATATACGCTCACTGTAACAACAATAATTTGCTCATTTTGCATATATTTTGTTTTTGTCAAAAATATTTATATTATTAGTACAAAATAATATAATTTTGTACCAATATGTAATAAAATGCCTACAATATTTGTTATATATTTTTCACATATTTGGTTTGATAAAGACTGAAACTATTTTTAGAATAAATATAATTAATATAATGAGTCGCCCATTAAAGAAATGCTGCAGTCGAGGCTAATAATACTATTTTTGGTTTAAATGATTTATCTTCAAATGATGACTCAGCCAAGGCCGGCGCGATAGGGGGGTGTGACACACCCCCCTCCCCCCCATCAATGATTTTTAGTCGGCAAACTGGACCCTTAGTCGGCAAATCGGACCTTTTTAGACTAGTTAGTCGGCAAATGTCGACCCTTTTGATATAGGTTAGACAGTTGGCAAATGTCGTAATGACAGTCGGCAAATTTTGGAAAACGAGGACTTTTTTTTTTTTTTTTAGTCGGCAAAAGTTGTAATGGCACCCCCCCTCCCCCACGTGACACCTACTCGCGCCGGCTCTGGGCTCAGCTGACAAAAAACTTACAGACAATGAAGAAAATATTATTACAGCTGAATCAGATGCTATCATCTCTGATGAAAGTGATTAAGAAGTTGTTCAGGAAAATCACATTTTAGATCAAAACATGATTTTAAAGAATGGTGAGGTTAACTTTCACGTGTAAATGCTGCTCAACCACATGCACACAATATTATTCGACAACCAACTGGCTCAATAGGGTTTGTAGCTCAGGTTGTGGATACTGTCTTTAAACTCTTTATAACACCAGAAATGATTAGAATTATTGTCAACTGCACTAATGCTGAAGCTCGTAGAATAAGACTAGAAGGATGGGTTGACACAACAGTAAATGAGTCTATTGGAGTTCTTCTTCTTGCTGGAGTGTTTCATTCTAAAAATCAAAGCATAAAAGAGCTTTGGAGTAAATTAGATGACATACCAATATTTTCTGCTTCAATGCAGAGAGATCGATTTGTTAACTTGCGACGATGCATTCGATTTGATGAGAGAGAAACAAGAAATCAAAGACGGTTTAAAGATAAATTTGCACCTTTAAGAAATACAATGGAAATGTTTACCACTAAATGTAAGAGCAACTACAATCCAAGTGCATATCTTACTGTTGATGAGCAACTAGTTACATTTAGGGGACGTTGTCCATTTAAGATATTTATACCTACTAAGCCAGGAAAGTATGGAATGAAGGTATGGATATTATGTGATGCTGAAACTTCTTACTGCATAAATTTGCAACCGTATATTGGTAGAGTAAATGGAGTACGTGATGTTGGACAAGGTACACGAGTAGTTTCTGAACTAACTGATCAGTTAAATGGAAGTGGTAGACACATAACAGCTGATAATTTTTTTACAAACATTTATCTTGCATGACATTGCTAGGACGTAAAATTACATACACTGGCACCATTAAAAAAAATAAAGGAGAAATACCAAAAAAAGTTATTGCCAGCCCTACATCGACCAGTTTATTCTAGCCCTTTTTGCCGTAAAAGCAAAGATCAGTTTTTTGTTTCTTATCGAGGTCCCTATCTCTGGAACAAAATAGTCTTACCAAATTTTAATTTTTCTACTCAACTGACTTTTTCTTCATTTTAACAAAAACTTAAAAAAATTATATTTTTAATTGAAAATATATTTTTAATTGTTTTGTTTTGTTTGTTGTTCTATTTTGTATATTATTTGGTTTAACATTTTATTTTGGCTTTTTAACATTTTATCTTAAATTTTAATTGTCGTTGCATAAAGGTATATTATTTCACTACAGACTTTGTATTTTTATTAAAAATTAACCACATATTGTAAAGGGCTTCATGACAAAATCCTCATGATCTTCTAGAAGTCCTGTCGTTACTAATGTAAAAATTGTAAAAAATATTTGGTTATTGTAATACTTTCAAACAGCAAAATAGTAAATAAAAAAAAATCTATCATTAATTTATGAACTACATTGTTTCATAAAACAGGTCAATCAATGTATCTAAAGTTAAAAATTCCAGAGTTGCTCATTAACAGCATTTTAACGGAAAAAATATGCCGTTTCTTGGTGTTCAAATAGATGAAAATTTATCATGAAGAAATCTTTTAGCCACATCAAATAAAAAAAATCATCTGCATTAGGTATTTTATAGCTTATTTTTTGAAACAAAACTAAACTACGAGGCTTGCAAAACCATGCTTATAGAGCAATTCATTATCTTAGTAGAATGGACATCTTTCTAATACGATGACAAATATGAGTTAAGTTTTTCCGAGTTTTTCCAACTTGGAAAAACTTTTTTAATCTTACTTGACTTGATCCCAAACATATTATTCTTAAATAAAAAAAAAAAAAAAAGAAAACAGCTTAAAAAAACTTTTTATTTAACATTTTAACTTTAAGTATTAATAACTTTACTAGCAAAAAGCAACCCGTAATACGGGTTTTGGTCGGTCTGTTACATAATTAATATATAGTGGCTGTTTTCCACAATTTAATGTTGCAAAACCTTAACTAATACCCTTTTAGAATATTGCCTTCTGCTTGAAAAAATTAATCCATCTGTAAAATTAACATAAAAAGTATGAGGAGGTAAAATAATTTACCAACTACTACTTAACATTTACAATTACTACTTAACATTATTTTAATAATTGAATTGAATAATTTACAAATTGAATAATTTACAAATGGCATAATTTACATTGTATAAATTTACATTGAATATTTTTATAATTTTACATTAAATATGAACAATAAATTTACATTGAATAATTTACAAATGGCATAGGTCATAACAGTGTATGGCAGAAACATTTTCATCGACCTTAATAAGTTTAACACAATACGTTTTCAGTTACTGACACAAAATAATAACACTTTGTCATGCTTTAAATTGACAAAAGTATCAACGAAATCCTTGTAATAATTTTTATAACACGAACGATTAAGATTAAAATAAAGTTAAAAAGAATAAATTATATTATACAGGAGTTATCAATTTTTTGGTATCTTCTTGATTAATTTTTCCTTAGAAAAGAAAATTGTTAACTTAAAAATGTTTAATGCACACATTTAAAAAAATTTATTATAAATAACTAAGCAACTGAGTACAAATACGTTTCAAACAAAAAAAATTTAATTTACGATTAAACATGGGTATAATAAATTTGAAAAAATATGTAAACTTAATGCATTAATGCATCATATGACAAACCTAAAATAAAAATTATAACAGATAAGTAGACATAAAAATTTGTAAACCAAGCTGACCCGACCCGGGTCTTGTTAAGTCTGTTCAACACAGACCATTTCTGTATCATTTGTTTGGCCTCTTTATTTCATTAATTTTTAGTAAACGGTATTTTGCCACCATTTACTAAAAATTCCTTTTGTAACTCGAAATTTAATTTTCTTAAATATTTTGACTCTAATAAAGAGGTTCCTCGCCTCTTTTTGCTTTAATGGTGACCAGATGAATAAAATAAAATAATAAAATGTAAAACAATGATCTACATATATAAAAATGTTTTCTTTCTTTCCTCAAAAGTGTTGCAAATACAGACTAAGCTAACTAATTAGTTAAACATAAATAAAACTTGAGTAACTCGATAATAATGCGCAAAACTACAATATTCTCCATGTTTTTAAAGGTTTTTAGTTACGACCCCCCATTTACAAAGATCCCCTTAAAATACGTACAACAAATTATTAGGCATAAAATAGATAAAATATAAAATTAACTAATAGCATATATTTATATCTTTTAATTAACAAAAATTTACAATAAAAAGAAATCAGGTTTTATTATTTTATAAATCTTATAAATGCGTCATAACGTAATTCTAAAAAAAAAAAAAAAAGTAATGAAATTATGATATCATAATTACAAAGAAGAAAAAAAACAAAAACCACTACACAATTACCGAAAATCGATTTACCAATTTATAGTAACCTATTTTGAAATTGCAGTTAAAGATTTATCAAAAATGTAACTATAAAATCTGTTTCGAAGTACAAAAGCATTAACAATACTAAAAAAAAAAAAAATCAAACCAAAATATAAATTGTTGTCTTGGCTTTTATAGTTTAAACATATATACAACTATAAACAAATATGACTTTATAACACATATAAACACATTTTACAACTATTGAATGATAGATATTTATCAAATACTAT